TTCGACTATGAGATTATGCAACTCCTAAATACCGGAGGAATGCCTTGTGTTCTATCAAATGTCACAACGTAACTGGTTGATTATAAAGATGCTCTACAAGTATCTCCGAAGGTGTTTGTTGGGTTGGCATAGATCGAGATTAGGATTTGTCACTCCGAGTATCGGAGATGTATCTCTCGGCCCTCTCGGTAATACACATCATAAGAAGCCTTACAAGCAAAGTGAGTAATGAGTTAGTTACGGGATGATGTATTACGGAACGAGTAAAGAGACTTGTCGGTAACGAGATTGAACTAGGTATGAAGATACCGACGATCGAATCTCGGGCAAGTACATACCGATGACAAAGGCAATAACGTATGTTGTCATAACGGTTCGACCGATAAAGATCTTCATAGAATATGTAGGAGCCAATATGAGCATCCAGGTTCCTCTATTGGTTATTGACCTAAGAGGTGTCTCGGTCATGTCTACATAGTTCTCGACCCCGTAGGGTCCGCACGCTTAACGTTCGATGACGATTTAGTATTATATGAGTTATGTGATTTGGTGACCGAATGTTGTTCGGAGCCCGGATAGGATCGCGGACATGACGAGGAGTCTCGGAATGGTCGAGAGGTAAAGATTGATATATAGGATGATAGTATTCGGACACGGGGAGTGTTCCGGATCGTATCGGGTATTTATCGGAATACCGGGGGGGGGTTACCAGAACCCCCGGGAGAATGATATGGGCCATATGGGCCATAGGAGGGGAGCACAGCAGCCCACAAGTGGTGGCTCCCCCAAGGAAGGAGACCGAATTGGATAAGGTAAAGTGGGGGTTCGCCCCCCTTTCCTTCTCTCCTTCCTCTCCCCCCCCCTCCGGAAATAAGGAAGGGAGGGAGGCCTAATTGAGGGAGGACCCCAAGTAGAATTCCTCCTACTTGGGGCGCCCCATAGCTGCTCCCCTCCCCCTCCCACCTATATATACGTGGGGAGGGGGCGTCTGGAACACACAACAACAATCATTAGCCGTGTGCGGCGCCCCCTTCCATACTTTACACCCCCGGTCATAGTTTTGCGGTGCTTAGGCGAAGCCCTGCAAGAATCACTTCACCATCATCGTCACCACGCCGTCGTGCTGACGGAACTCATCTACTTCCTCGATACCTTGCTGGATCAAGAAGGCGAGGGACGTCATCAAGCTGAACGTGTGTAGAACTCAGAGGTGCCGTACGTTCGGTGCTTGATCGGTCAGAGCTAGAAGAAGTTCGACTACATCAACTGCATTGTCAAACTCTTCTGCTTTTAGTCTACGAGGGTACATGGACACACTCTCCCCCTGTCGCTGCTATGCATCTCCTAGATAGATCTTGCGCGAGCATAGGATTTTTTTTGAAATTGCATGCTACGTTTCCCAACACCATCGCCACGATGATCGTCTTCATCAACATCACCTTCTTCATCACCGTCCTCTCTCTTTTAAGTGGTCCACTCTCCCACCCCGCTGCAATCCCCTAATTGAACATGGTGCTTTATGCCACATATTATGTCCAATGATGTGCTGCCATCCTATGATGTTTTGAGTATATTTCTTTTGTCTTTTGGGTTGATTGATGATCTAGATTGGTTTGAGTTGTATGTTTTATTTTGGTGCTATCATATGGTGCCCTCTGTGTCGCGCACGCGTGAGGGATTCCCGTTGTAGGGTTTGCAATATGTTCATGATTCGCTTATAGTGGGTTGCTAGAGTGACAGAAGCTTAAACCCGAGTAAGGGGGTTGTTTGCGTATGGGAGTAAAGAGGACTTGATACTTTAATGAAATGGTTGGGTTTTACCTTAATGATATTTAGTAGTTACAGATGCTTGCTAGAGTTCCAATCATAAGTGCATATGATCCAAGTAGAGAAAGTATGTTAGCTTATACTTCTCCCTCATATAAAATTGCAATAATGATTACCGATCTTGTTAACGATTGCCTAGGAAAATTCCGCACACTGTTCCATCATTATTCCACACTCGCTATTTGTAATATATTATAACTTTATGATAACAACACCTATTTTTATATTTTAGTTCTTCGACATCATGCAAAGCTATCCTCTTCATACCCACAACGTAGTTTTATTTCTCATTTCTAGATGGAAGCAAACGTTTGGTGTACTTAGAGTCGTATCAGTGGTAGATGGGACTTGAGAGAATATTGATCTTACCTTTAGCTCCTTGTGGGTTCGACACTCCATACTTATCACTTCCACCTTTGGAAATTGCTACAGTGATTCCTTGCACTTGGGGATTATCATACTACAAGTCTTCGGAGGATTCCATCTTGAGTACGCCGAGGGCCAGGGCATGCATGGGACATTCTTCAGTTGTTGGTGGGTCCTCGGCCCGGCCCATGAATGCAAGCCGATGTGGCGTGCACCCCCTAATCCAGGACACCGTCAAGGGTGATCCCTGCCTCCTCCTCTGACTCGGGACTACCTTATGGGCAACGATGAGTAGAGTGATGTAGCAGATGCAGTTTTATATGTTTTATATCGATGCTTAACCCAATTCAATGTCGATATACTATTTAATGTAGTAGAAAATGGACTGTTTAATTATCTATGTATGATATTGATGTGGTACCATTATCGAATTATGCAATGAACTAGTTTAAATTTGTGTTTGAAATGAATTTGTGTTTGATTTTTTTATAAAGAGAGCTTCCTCTTCGATTTCTATTATAAGAAACCACAATGTCTTTCCTAACAACTACTAGCTACAAAGCAACAAGAGCAACAAACCCACCAAGTGGGAGGGAAATGATGATGCATGATCAGAACGGAAACAATTGGGCTATTCTCAACCGACCATCCAAACCACATGGGGCTATATCAGCATATATGCTGATAGCCCAGAGAACTAAAAAGATTTGGAGCATCATCATCCTGAGAAGCCACAAGCCAGATCTAGACGATTCTTAGAACATCAAGCATACATGAGGTTTCTACTAATAGGGTTTTGCAATAGTCGCCACCAGTGGAGAGTGTGGGGTGAGAGTGATCCAAACAGCTACTGGATGCAGTCCAAAGGAGCTCAGCCTGGGAGAGCCTACAGTTTTCTATGCAAAGCCCTCCATCCAAGCGCATCCCTAAAACTTCACCAGCGATCATCTCAACCCCATTTACGCCCCACCTCATTACCTTGTCTTCCTAGATTTGTCTGCAAAATAAGCCAACCGTGAAGCATTTTAACAATCAGATTAACAGGGACACAAGGATTAGTAACCTTGTTGTTATCAATATAACACCATTTCTCAACTTCCAAATTGTCCAAAAGATAGCGGAAATACCAATAACTGCTCCTGATGTCTAGACAAGACACGTGCAAGATGAATAAAAGTTTAATCCTATGGAATAAAAGATATGTTTTGAACTTTTGATATAGGGGTCTGCTAGAGATTGTCAAGAAAAGACACTAGAGAAATTTGGGACCGTCGAGGTATGGCCTTCTTGTGTGAAGTTGGATAATTCCAACTGAACGAAAAATAATCCCATGTTTGGTTTGAGGAGGTTTGCTAACTTTACCTCCTTACCTGAAAAGTAAGGATCACACTACTGTTTTACCTGAAGAATGTAAAATTCAATCTCCTAAAGTTTACGTTACATGTTGCAGAAGAAAAGTTTGGGGAGTCAAGTATTTTGATTGTGTCAAATAACAAGCATATGCTAATATTGGGTTGTGCACAAGCACAAACTTAGGCAGTATCAAGGCCAGCATCACAATCAATGCAAGGTCTTCAAGGTGAAGAGAGTGTACCGATTCTACCAGTGTGGAAATACCATCGGATGGAGCAGATGTTTGGGAAATAGACGTGAAGGTGCTCAAGTTTGGGAACAAGATTGCATCTGGATGAAACGGCGGCCAAGTTCCGGTTTGTGTTAGGATTGTGAAGTGAAAACAATTGAACCATATTGCCATTTTGAATGTTAATTAATAATCTTATAAAATAGCTGAGACCTGGTATACAAAATATATTGCCAAAGAAGTGCGTGAAAACTTAGTCCGGTGTCCTCCTGTCCAGCTCTCCAATCGAACCTACCCCGAATTCCATGCGGAGTGCATCACGTACGTAATTCATAGCATAATGCAAGGAGCTGGCTGATGGAGCAGTCACAGTTCATACCATACCGACTTGCCCCATTCGTCTACCCATTAATCAACCTACCATTTTCATCCTACGCCAATTCCCCTATTAATACTCTGCATAGCAGCAGCAGCAACACACCATTGGCAAGCAACCCCACAGTCGAGTCAGCACACAATGCCTGGGACGACGACATCCCGCGCTCTCCTGCTCGCCAGCGTCGTCCTGACGGCGCACATGTTCTTGTGCACGGCGTACGTCGGCGGCGATGGGTTTAGCGTGGAGTTCATCCACCGTGACTCCGTCAAGTCCCCGTATCATGACCCGTCGTTCACCGCGCACGCCCGCGTGCTCGAGGCCGCGCGCCGGTCCTCAACGCAGGCCGCTGCGCTCTCGCGGTCCTACGGCCGCGTCGACGCACCATCAGCCGACGGCCCCGTCTCCGAGCTCACCTCCAGGCCCTTCGAGTACCTGATGGCCGTGAACGTGGGCACCCCGCCCACCCGCATGCTCGCCATCGCCGACACCGGCAGCGACCTCATCTGGCTTAATTGCAGCAACGGAGAAGTGGCTCCTGGTCTGGCGGCCGCCCGGCACGCGCACGCGTCCGCTCCCGCTCCCGCGTCCGCGCCGCCGCCGGGCGTCCAGTTCAACTCCTCCAATTCGACGACGTTCGGTCTCGTGAGCTGCAGCTCCGGCGCATGCCGCGCGCTCCCCGATGCCTCCTGCCCCGACTCCAAGTGCAGGTATCTCTACTCCTACGGCGACGGCTCCCAGACGCGCGGCCTCCTCTCCACGGAGACCTTCACCTTCGCCGACGACCAAGGCACCCGCGGCGATGGGAAGATACGCGTGGCCAACGTCAACTTCGGCTGCTCCACGACCATGATGGGCTCGTTCATCGGGGACGGCCTCGTCGGACTTGGCGGCGGCGATCTCTCCCTCGTCAATCAGTTAGGCGCAGACACATCGCTCGGCCGGAGGTTCTCCTACTGCCTCGTGCCCTACTCCATCAACGCCTCCTCCGTGGTCAACTTCGGCCCCCGCGCCACCGTGACGGAACCGGGCGCGGCGACGACGCCGCTGATCCCATCTGAAGTGAAGGCCTACTACACCGTCGATCTCCAGTCCGTCAAGATCGGGAACAAGACGCTCGCGGCGCCGCAGCAGTCCCCCGTCATCGTCGACTCCGGCACGACGCTGACGTACCTCGCGAACGAGCTTGTGGACCCATTGGTGGAAGAGCTGACCCGGAGGGTCAAGCTCCCGCCGGCGAAGTCGCCGGAAGATCTCCTGCCACTGTGCTTCGACGTGAGCGGGGTACGGAAGGGGCAGGTGGCGGCGATGATCCCTGACGTGACGCTGGGGCTGGGCGGCGGCGCGACGGTCACGCTGAAGGCGGAGAACACGTTCGTGGAGTTGCAGGAGGGGACTCTGTGCTTGGCGGTGGCGGCGCCGTCTGACCAGTTTCATCCTGTGTCCATCATCGGGAATATTGCGCAGCAGAACATGCACGTCGGCTATGACCTCGACAAGGGCACCGTGACCTTCGCCACAGCAGACTGCGCCAAGTCCTCCGGCTCTCTGTATATCTGATCAGCATTACTAGTTGACATATTTGCTTGCGATCGCATGTATCTGCAAAATATATAAAACATTTCGAGAAATGAGATTCTATCATGCAGGGGAATCTACTGTTCATCGTTACTATGAGATTTGTCATGTTTCAAAGCGTTACATCAGATTTTTCTCTCGTTCCAAAGCGAATCATAATGTATCGTTGTGTATCATCATACTAATCTGAAGCCAATGCATTATTTTTGTAACAATGAAACATGATGTACACATTGAAATAAGAAAAGGAAAGAAACATTATGAGACAAAAAAAATTAAGAACAAGTAAAGAAAATAGCGTGAATCTCAAACGAATCATGGAGGATCCATACACAGGAGACATAGAAAAAAGCACTCTCAAAACATTATTCTATATCTATATCTATACCTAGTATAAAGCAAGGTGTGTTTGTTCAATTTTTTCTTCCGTTCATCGTTGGAAAGATTTTTCTTTCTATTCGAGGTGATACTAAATTTTTGTGCGTCTATCCTAGAAAAGAAAAAGAAGGTTTCTCCAGAATTCCGTAATTGAGCCCCACGTGCTCCGGCCCCACGAAGTCAGCCCACTTATTATTCCCCCACGAAGTTGGGAAGACCTTATGTATTGCACGGAATGATAAATAGTTGAACCTTCCCACGGAACGTCTAAGACTGGGCCAGCCCGTTTCCCCTTTTTCGTTGTTCTATTTCTATTTTTTTTTCTGTTCCTTTATCTTTCTCTTTCTCTTTCTCTTTTTCTTATTTATTTTTTCCTTTTTTCCTTTTTTTATTTTTTCTGTGAAGTAAAAAATTTATAAAAGTATTCAAAATTTCAGAAATTCGTCAGAATTCCAAAATTTGGTTCCGGTTTTGAAAAATGTTTGAAACTTTTAAAAATTTCCCGTTTCAAAATTATCTACACATTCAAAAACTGTTCTCATTTAAGAAAATGTTTGTTTTTTCCAAAATTCTTTGAGATTCTTTTTATGAAATTAAATTTTATTAAATTTTCCGTATTTAAAATTATTCTTGCTTTAGTGAAATGTCCACAAATCCAAAATAATATTTGCGTCTAAGAAAACATTTTCTAAAATTGTTTTGAATAAAACTAAAATTCAAAAATATTTGTGTTTTTAAGAAATTTTTATGTTTTCAAAATATTGTTTGTGAATTTCAAAAACTATTAATGTTTCTAATTATTTCGTATTTTCCCCAAAAATATTTGAATTTTCGAGAAAAATGTATTCGCATTTTTTGAAAATTGTCGGGGATTTAAAGAATTGTTCACGTTTTCAAGAATAGTCGTGAATTCATATTTTTTGAATGTCTAAAATATTTAAAAATATTTCTAACCTGATGCTATAGTATTTTCTTGAATATTCGCGCTGGCCATTGGTTAGGGGTGCGTGTTCGTTCTATGCTGGTTGACTATAAATGAAAGAAATTGTGGGCACATGTCAATAAAAGAGAATATGTTGTTTGACTTTAATTAGTGCAAAATTATGGGCACTTGAGCACTAAAATAATCAGAGAGAATAAACCCTCAAAAAGAAGGGACATTCATGCATGATTATGCTAATAAAATGAGATTTATGCACTGCAATTAATAATCCACATGGTTAGGCTATCATAGGATGGAGTGGTCGAAGCAAACGTGTCCCGAAGGTCGCCGTGCAGCCACCTAATGAGGAGGCAGGCACAACCCCGAGATGGAGACTGCCGCGGACGAAAAACTCATGAGTTGGGTGCTCGCCACCACGCCGACCAACTCCACCACAATCAAGATTTCTCGTGTCAAACAAGTTCAGTGAGAAGACCATTACTCCTTGCTCTATCACCTACCATTGTGGAGACCTTTTTTTATGACACATCAATTATCTTTCCCGTTGCTTCTCGTAAAAAATATCTCTCCCATTGCAATGCATGGGCATATGTGCTAGCACATACATAATCATCCTCTTTATTTCACATAGTGCACGGTAACCAACCTGTATACAATGATGTACACTAAACTGTTGATGCGAGCTTTATGTAAACAAGTGGCTTAAGGTTGATTTCTATACTGTTTGAAATAGTGCCCATAAAGATTTTTGGAGACACCTCAAGGACACACGCAACATCACTTATCATGTTGTTGGTTGTATGTCATCATGAAAGGTTTCAGTGAATTTGCTGATGTCGTCGAGTGTGTATAAGAGGTGATTTTTTTTCTTTGCAACGCACGGGCATGTTTGGTAGTCTCTTTTGAAAACGACAAAAAAAGGAAGATACAACAAGCCCAGTCGAAGCTTGCTCACTATGTACAAATAAGGTAGCTAGGAGCTCCCATAATAGCATCTTGAGGAACCTATAGAACCTACATGCTAAAGTAACGAACTCTAGTTCATGCATACTAGTTGCACCTATATACAATACAAGCAAACGAACAAGTAAAATGCACACACAATATGAGATCTAAAAATCACTATAGAACTTATGTTGTATAAAAAACACACTAGTTTGAGAATCGATAATCTATTTGACACATGTTCGAATTATAAATATGAAATATCCTTTTAAGAAAGAAGCTGGCGCTCACCTGGCTGTAACTGCGCACACGACGACCGCCTCCGTTACGGCCAGATCAAGTTTAGGTCATGCGGCGTACAACAAACCTCAGTACACCCACGAACTTTGCAATGCGGACCTTGTTGCGATTGGCTGATTTTGCAACATGGGTTGTGTTCCAAAACCTCTCCCTCAATTGTGCGCCATGTGCCCACACTACTGGGAAAATGAGTGGGGTCATATTTTTGGCGGACCAGTGATGGAATCAGCACTACTATTTTGGCAATGTACCAGTGGCGGATGATAAACAAAGCCGACCGCCCCCGTAAGGAAACCAGTGACGAGTTAATATAGGCACCCACCAGCTAGAAATTCATATAATGGTCTGAAAATATCAAATCAACCCAAAATAGTACCAAATTTGAGCATGAGACTTCAATGGTGTATATTCAACATAGAAAAAGTCTAACAGAGAAATGATGTATAAATAAAAGATTTCTCTATGAAAGTCCACTGTTTCGGTTTGAACCCTGATACTTCGCGAGAAACTCTTCAGTTTGTACACGAAGTGCATCAAATTTTCCCGCAACTCTCTCAAATATTTATCACACCCTATAGGGATTATGTGATGACACCATGCAAAATTTCATCCTTTTCAGAGCTCATTTCCATATATTTTTTGAATCAAAGATCATTTTACAAATTTTAATAGCTAGAAATTCATATAATGCTCTAAAATTATCAAATCAACCCAAAATAGTGCCAAAATTGAGCATGGGACTTTCAGTGGCGTATATTCAACATAGAAATATCAATAGAGAATTATGTATACAGAAAAGATTGCTCTATGAAAGTCAACGGTATTCGTTTCACTATAAAAAAGACATGTCCGTGACAATTTGGCTCGAACGAATTTTTTTTCCTGTCATGCTTATGCCACTTCTATGACGATAATTGCGACAAAACCACATATCATCATAGATGTGGTGGGCTCCTACTTCTATGAAAAAAATCATGACAAAAAATATGTTTTTGTCCTGGGCGGGCCGGGGACGCACCTGCATGACATTCTTTCGGCTGTCCATGACGGAAAAAATCGTGATAGAAGCGAGGGTGAGGAAAATATCGGAGAGTTCCCGGTTATGGTGGGTGGCCGGGTGTAACACCCTAAAGATTTAATCAAAATTTACTAAGTCAGAAATAAAATTTTGAGCTACTCCAGGTCATTTATTAATTTCAGAGCCTTTTCTATTTTGTTTTACACAATTCTTCCCCCATAGAAGATTATTTTCGTAAAATGTTGTGGTCTTAGGTTGTTTTGTAAATCATTTCATTTATATAATAAATAACATTAGGAAATATTTCCATAATAAAATTGTCGACAAATAATTCTTTACTAGCATTTTAAATCCTTAAAATTATTCTGTTGCACTACAAATATTTTAAATAATTGTTTTAAAATCCCACAAAAATTATGAGAGGTCAGGTGATGCCTATAAATCACTTTTGAGCAAAAACCTAACTTTGTCTTTTGAAAATTTTGAGTGAAACATCCTCTTTTCATTTCTTCCCCATTCTTGAGTTATAAGTGCAACCCTAATTTTCCTAGCTCCATTAACTCTGAAATTTGGCCAACTTGTAGTCCTTCCAACCAAAACCTTAACTCCAGTAGATCAGATCTATTTGCATCTTTTAAGTCCACCAAACATGCCACTGAAGTTTCTGTCCAGAACTGAATTCTGGTAAAACTTGCACTAGCAAGTTTCTCATACTGCCAAACTAACTCCACCATCATCTCTATCATCTAAAGATGCCCACCCTGCCAAGTTTCAAATCCAACAAAGTCCTCTAGCTTTACCTAGCATTCTGTCGAACAGGTGGTGAGCATGACAGAACTCCCTAAACCACCATTTGAAACTTGCTCTTTTGACCAAACCACCATGTCCAGCATCTCTATAGTTTCCAGTAGCACTACGCTGCCAAATATCATCTTGATTTGATCATTGTATCCCACCCTAGCATTTTGTCGAGAACCCTGGGTGCGTGCAGAGAGTGCGGCTAGAGCGTGCGTTTTACACACATCGGCACCGAGCTCCTGCCGTGTCTCTGCTGCCTCCCATCTCAACCCGATCCATCTCTGGGTCAGCCCAACCACCATGACCCTCGCAGACACCTACGCTTGGCCCCTAGCGCTGTCCACTCCCGTCCACGACGACCAGGACCGCCACCCGACGAGTCCCGCACGGCCACGTCCCCGCCCGCGATGCGTGGCACACCCTCGAGCCACCCAGCACCTCTTGGGAGTAACTGCAGCCGCCCCCGCCCCCGCCTACCTCCACCGGCGACGCCTATCTCACCACCATCCATGTTCTGCCATCAATGGCGGATGCCACCGTGTTCATCTTCGGGAAGCCACGGAACCGCCCCTCCTGCACTATAAAATGGACCCCCGAGCC